GCACTCGGCACGCGCACGCGCAGGGGGCGCCCTGGCGGTCAGACTTGACCTCTGAGCTGCGGGTGGCAGATGCGGGATGCGACGCGAGAAGCTCGGCGGCTGAGCAGGGCTCCCTCCTCCTCGGCGACTGCCCACCGGGCGCATGGAAAGGGAAGGAAAGAGAGAAAGTTGGCCTTTGCCACATGCTGGGTCTCCCTGGGGTGGCTGCTCTGGGTCCCGCGAGACTCTCGCCTGCCCGAGGGGGAGAGGGGCCTCAGACCCTGGTGCAAATGGCAGAGATGAGGAAAGGCACGTTCTTGGGGTCTCACATTTCACCTGGCAGATTCTCCCGTACGTTCAGCCCCACCCCCACCCCCACCAGCCCCCACGTCTGGGCCACTCATCCCAGGATGTTGAAACCAGAATTTTCACTTCCACGTGGTCACTCAGAAGTGGGAAAAGCTGCCGCTGGCTCACTGCTTTCTCCTGCTCCAGAGACCAAGCTCAGGGAGCGTCGACATTTCAGCGCCCCGTGGGGGCATCTGTCAGCCCGGTTACAGTCTCGCTCTAATCGTGGTCACTTCACGGTACTGTCGTCCAGTCCTGCACGGAGACCCGCACACACAACTGCAGGAATCCGTAAAGGAAAGCTGTTCAAATCCAGCTCCTTAAAAAATCCCTCAGTGTGGAGCTTTCTGTGATCACCGTGTTTTGTTGTGACGTCATGTTCTGTGGGAATTGTAAAAGTTGCAAAGCCACATGGTGAGGCCCAGCCTGTCCCTCAGCTGCCTGTGGCCCTTGCTGTGTCCACGCCACCTGGCAGAGGCATACTGCAGGGTGCTGTGGGCAGAGCGGGTTTTCCAGAGGAAGCTAATGTTTTATTATCATTTACCCCTGCATCTAGATCCCCCACGTCATGCTTGTATTTAATATTTGTCCATTTTCCTCTCTAGGTTGAAGAGAGACCAGAAAAAGATTTCACGGAGAAGGTAAGGCATTTCTATAAGCCTTTATATCATGCCATTGGGAAACCTAGTACGTCCCAAAATTTCTGGGTAAGAGTAACAAGAAAATACATTGCTTGATCTTTAATGAAGATCTTCACTGGTGAGTGAGCAGGACTAGTTCATGGCCCACCAGCCAGTGTCACAACCTCGAGGGTCCCCGGGGGTCACTTCCAGTGTGTGTGTCAAATCCCACAGGACAGGAAGTGCACACTGCCCACTGCTGGGGCTTGCGGTTAATCCAGACAAACCCCCGGCACCCACAAAAGATATTCCGATTGGACTAGGTTCCAGAAAGGCGCCATGAGCGTAGACTGACAGCAGCGTTGGCTCGGTCTGCCCTCACGTTTGACCCTCACACCCTTCCAGGGCTCCCGCAGCCTGCCCGGCCTGTCCGCGGCCACGCTGGCCTCGCTGGGTGGCCCCTCCTCTCGGAGAGGAAGCGCAGAGACCTCCACCTCCATCGACACCGAGGCGTCCATCAGGGAGATCAAGGTAGGGCTCCCTCCATCTTTACGGCCCCTTGTGAACATTGGCCTTCAAGGAAGAAGATGTCATTCATCAAGGTCCAGACCTTCCTTGGCGGTCCGGTCTCCCCTCCGTCCGTAACCACGTGTTCTGGCAGCACCGAGACCCAGCTCAGATGTGGTGGGAAGCCATCCGCCCACCCCACCCCGCTGGGCAGACGCCTGCGCGGGCCCCGAGCGCCCCAGCTCCCCGGCACACCCATGCGAGCCCTCGCCACACGGCACCGCGGGCTCCTCTGCCCGTCCCTTCTCTCTGCGATCACCTTCACCTGACCTCGTTGCGTTCCAGTGGTGTCTTCCGCTGGGGTGCGGCCGTGGTTCTGCTAGCTCCTTGACACTCAGCGGGAGCCGGCGAGTGGGAGGGAGGGAGGCAGTACTGTTTAAGTCACTGGAAATGCCACATCTGAGAAGGTGACTGAAGGTGATGCACAGGGAGGACTTAGGCACTAGAACCCGCACCCCCTGGGGAGCGGAGGGAGGCGCTCAAGGGATCGGACCTGGCTTCGTCTATAGACGCACTTCCTGGCAATTAAAACTGGTTAAGTGTGAGCAGCTGGGGGACCCTTCGCCAGGGGGTCAGAGCAGCGATTTAAACATCAGCAGGGGTGGTGCTGGGCTCCCCTGAAGGTGCCACCCGAGGCCTGTGCTAAACAAGCACAGCTGTTGACTGCTGTTCCGCGATGTCCCACGTGTCCCCGCTGGGCCTCCTGCACTGCTGCTCATTTCTGTCCTCTATCAAGGTCGCATCTGCGGCCATCCTAAGTCGTCTCTGCTCGTGGGCCGTGAGCACCGTTCATTTGTTCCCAAGCATTTATGCAGCGTCCGGCTCCCGCGGACACAGGGTACCAGGAGGGGGCTGGTGAACGGGGCGCGCAGAGTAGGGACGAGGGCTCCGAGGGTGTGGGGCGCGGCCTTGCCAGCCTCTGTCTCTAGGCCCTGGCTGAACCGAGCACTGAGCAGGAACTCAGCTTGAACGAACTGCAAACGAGTCAAAGCGCTTGGCCCGTTTTCAGAGGCTCTTTTGCCAGTTTGACAAAATTTATAGAACTATCACATGAGAAACACCTGAATTTTGATCTTCGTCGTATAGAAATTTCCTTTATGTTCCTTTTCCTGTTACAAAAAAGTCAGAGGCTCGCTGCTCGGACTGCCGCGTAAGGGAAGCCGCCCCGAAGTGAGGAGATGCGGGGGCTGCCTCTTTCTTTGCGTCCTTGTCCTTGCTTTCCCGTGACATCACTCGCCTTTCTCGCCATTTCCCCCAGGAGCTCAATGACCTAAAGGGCCAGATTCAGGATGTAGAAGGCAGATACATGCAGGGACTGAAGGAGATGAAGGTACCAGCGTCCGAAGTGTGGGCTCGCGATACTAACCCAGCTTAACCTAGAGCAGCCGAGGGAAGACCCTGCTACTAGCGCATGCTCGCTCCGAAGCGGCCCCAGACAGTGGGGCGGCAGGCGGCAGGTGTGCTGGCGTGGTGTGTGCACGGTCGTGTCCCCAGGGCGGCTTTGGGACCAAGGCCCAGCGCCACAGCCGCCCCATGGAGGAAGCCGCTAACGTCCTTCCTGACGCACGTCTGTCCTCACCCCCGGCCCCCGTGTCTCGGGCCCCACAGGGGCGTGCGGTTCACTTGAGGAAGGGTTTTCGGTTTCTGGGCTGGGTGTCTACACACGGTGCTTCACTGTGTTGGCTTCTCAAAGTGTCTGTCTGTGTCTGTGTCTGTGTCTGCCAGCAAACCCGTCCTCGTAACTGTCCTCGTGGCCACCCTTTCGAAACCACATTCTTTGCACATGTGACGTTTCCTAAGTGGAACGGCGTCTGAATGCGCATCATCTTGGATTTATCTGGGTAGATGCGCACCCCCCTTAGCACATGCAATGACCGCACTGTGCCGCCCAGGATGATTGGGTAAGGCGAGTAGTCGGGGGGCCGTGTTCCTCGCCTCTGTTCGGCAGCTCGTGGCAGACCGTGGACCTAGCAAGAGATGGGAGCCCCGTAACTGCCTCTCCCACTCCCCAGAGAGTACCCGAAAAAGAGCCCGAGTTCAATATCACAGGGTCCCTAAGCAGAGGACATGACAAAACACATGACTAATTAATCACTTCCCTATTTATCACCTCTTTTTAAAAGGGGTGAAATTAAGCCTGAGGCTCTCAACTCTGGAGCCCGGGAACCGCCGGCCCCACCTGAAATCGTCGCCCTGGTTCACAGGTGCAGGTGGGACCAGCTCCAGTCTCCGTGAAGCCGCCCAGTGGCACCTGAGACCCCCACCAAGCAGCGCCCACCCTCTTTGCCTCTGGGTGGTTTACACCTGGGGACCCCCCTCTCTCTTTTCTGGAACTGCCTCCCCCTAATTTGTGTTCTGGGATCTAAAGGCTGCTATACGCT